GTGTCTGTGTTTGAGTGTGCTGGTATTTGAGTGTGTTACAGAACTGAGCCCTCTCTGTGACATGATCTCTCACTGTGGGTTCAGAGCAGACGAGCAGCTCAGCTTGTGAAAGAGCTCCTAGTGGCCAGGGTGTGAACACTCCTGACAGGGAGAGGGTGTTTGTCACGTACTTGTAGCCAGTTCCCCTCTACAAGTTGACTGGTGGAGGTTGTAACTTCTCGTTTTCAACTTCTGTCTCGAACGCTGTTCACACTGTCCTGCCTGCTGTGCTCAATCCTGACCTTTTGCAAATTTTTGTGTTGTCATATACTTTACATTTTTAGAAATTGTTATTGTTTGGTACGGTATATAGTAAAAAGAAATTCCAAAAGTCTTGTGGATACAAAAGGAAAATAAAACACGTTTTTTTACAATTTACACAATATTACTACCTTTTCTTTCCATGATAGAATGCAGTATAACAAACACAGTTTACAAATATTAGAATGAAAATTTTTCAAGACACACTTATGAGATATCTCGGTAACACACGAGGAAGGACACATACCTGGAGTTTCATTGCATTAAAAACAGTGAGGGTAAAACAGTGTCGTTAAAAAATTAGACATTGTTAAAATATGTCGATCTGCACGATCTTTATGTGACAAATGTATCACGAGGGTCATGTACCACAGCTCCTGTCTGCGGTGCTTTGCTCTAACTCTGCTCTTCATGAAAGTGTCATCCTCACATTGACAACACACTGTGTTACAGATCACAAGAAGCCTGGTTGTTTGAGTGTTTTTGATCAGTTCTATTTGGACACACTTTATTAACTGTGGTTTTTTCTTTTTGAGGGGGATCTTGCACAAACGTAAAAAGAATTTCCCATTCTGTCAGTTATATTCTCTCAGTTAACTGCCGTGCACAGGCGTCCCTTTAGGAATTGAGAGTATTTTCTCCTTCAGGGGACGGGGTTCAGATTTCACTTCGATGTCGATTGAGGTTTTGATCAGAGGTGTGCTCATATACAAACTGCACGTACAGCTTCCAGCAGTTCCCTTTCGGAAACTCGCACCCCTCAGCATGTGACCCGGCGCGGTGGGTTATAAAGACACACTCCTAGAGCCCCGCAGTCACAGCTCAGCTCCTCTGCGAGACGAGGCCGAGGAAGAAGGAGCCAGTCTGTGTGTCTGGAAGTCAAGGTTTGGGTGAGTACAGATACCTTCTCGAACGTCTTTCGCGATCACATTTACAACGGAGAGATTAATGCTGACGATGCAGCACTTCTTTCCTGCACTGTAAACAGGTAAGTGGTGACGACTAGTGTCCAGATCCTTCAAGGACAGCTTTGCAACATTTCTCTCTCATTTAGTTTAGGATGAGTTACAGTAAATGTTGTACAGTCGGGTAAAAAAAAAGCTTTAGTAGAAACTGATTGCTGTTGAACGGTGAACACACAGAGGGGTCTGGAACATGTTCAGAATGTTTTGTTTTTGTGTAACTATATTGTTGTTTTTTTAATAAACATAAAAAATACATTTTGCAGTGTATTAAATGACAGAAAATAAAAAAATAGTGTCCCAATAAGTCACTAAGAGCTGAATCTGAGACCCTTGTTATACATAAGTCCAGCAACTGTCATTAATTACTGTGTTATTTTACAGTATACGACGTATAACATTGTGGGCTTCCACTGTAGGTAATTAAGTGCCTGTAATTAAGAAATTCTCCTGCCCAAACTGTCATGCCAACGCAAATTGTTCAGCATCGGTGTTCAGTTGGTACAGACTGAATGCGGGGAAAATGTTCTGGTATAACAGCACAGAGCGAAACCTTCAAATCCGAATGACATCACATTCAGTTCCGGAACCTCGGTTTTGCTGACGCACGTAGCGGGAGTCTCAGCGTCAGCACCAGGCCGCGAGACTGTCGATCACGCTGTTCATGAGATGATCGGAACAGCCTGGAAAATGAAAATGTTCTGGGATGATCCGATGAGCTACGGTATGTCACGGAGAGCTCGGGAGGAGCCGGGGCGGAGACCCCCTGGGGTGTGCTCTGCAGTGGGGCAGCCCCTCCAGTGACCATCCTGTCAAACCTCATATTTCAGGAGTCATGGGTGGCAGCGTGTCCGTGACGAACAACACGCCTTACCCCTGGTCCTACTGCTACTCCTACATGGGCAGCACCAGCAGCATCAAGGTGAGAACCCCACCCACGGGACTCTTCTCTCCCAGGCTCTGACACGTGACCGCACACGCCTGCAGCGGATCCATCCCTGCCTGCGTGTGTGCTGGAGTCACTCCTCGGCCTTGTCACCCCCTCTGCAGCCGGAGGGCGCCCCTGCTCTGTCCTGCCCCTAGGTTCCTGTGCTTTGCTGTCCTTCCGGTGTCTCTCTCTCTGGGGCTATATACTTCTGGGTCTCTCATTCACCTTCGCCCGGCGTTGACGTTCGGACGTCCTGAACTCCCGCCCCCTCGGTCCTGATGGCCGCCGACGTGTTCGTCACAGCGGCGGCCCGTTCGCCGGCTCTTGACCGCGACTCCCTTCAGGCGGGTCCCGGGGATGGGCTGGCGCCCCTCGCAGGCTGGGGCAGGCTCCAGCTGCCCCACGACTCTGTACTGGACACAGCTTTAGACAGCAGATAGACGGACGATCCGCGGATGAGTGGATGAATGAGGGATGAGTCAATAAGAGGATGGGTGAACGAACGGATGAATGGATAAGTGAATACAGTAAGTGGATGAATGGATTGG